GCTGATTGCAAGAACAAGAATGGCTGCACACTCTGCTTCAGTTGCATACAGAAATACACATTTACCACGTAGCTCATCACAGGATTTTTATAAGTTAGACTATTTATACAGTTGTCCTTCTTTCAAGACTCTTCATAATCCCTGTGGGTAGGAAAGAATGTGTGCTTTTAAAAGATTTTAATTCTTCCTTATGCTGCTTTCCAGATGCCCACCACACGGTCCACACCTTGGTGGGAACCCTGGGCACAGCAGAAGCCTTACCAGTGCTGCAGAGAGCAGACTGACTCCTTCCCATGCTGTGAGATGCAGTTCATTGAGCTGTGAGGTTTCTCTTCCTTGTAGGCACTGATGTCCATCTCAAGATAAGCTGCACCCCATTTCCCAAACATTTTTCGGACACTCCATCCGTGCAGTTCTGACTTTTTCAGTTATGCAGTCGGCCAAACCCACCGATGGAGAGAGACTGCCCTCTAGGGGTATTTCCCAAAACTTCTCCATTAAGATTTTTGGCTCTACTACAGACTTCCAAGTGCACTGACCATTCCAGTTTGCCTCAAGTTTAACCACCATACTCTGGACCTCCAGGATAGCAATGAAAAATCCTAAACACAATCCACAAGGGGCTTATAATAGCACTGTAGTGGGAAACTAGATTTTTGTGCTCATTTTCCCATTTTGGAACACCCACCATTTCCCTAAGAGAAATGAAATTATTATTTTGATGGATTTCTTTTTCTTAGAAGCTCCATTTGTTAGAGTCAACACCAGACTTTCAGCACAATGAACAAGTAGCAACTTGACAGAAAGGCTACAAAGGCACAAATTGTGTTAGGAAGATAAAACCTAACTAGGGAGGCACAGCTACCACTGGTTTCCAGTGTTCTCCCCAGTAACTGCAACAGTGAAGCTAGCAGGAGGTATCAGGGTAGTTTATAAGCGATTCTCATACTCACCAACTTAAAGATGCTTCCTAGTAGTTTTCACAGAGCAGGCATTCTCACTGACAGCCTTAGCTGCTTCAGATATAAGGCTTGGTCCTAAAGACAGGATAGTGGCTAATATTTGTGACTGAGCTTTAAGCAGCAGCAGCTACTGACACCATGACACGAAGCAGCAGCAGCAACCTAAAACCCAGCCATGCCTACAGCTTTTGCCTCATTTTCTGTGAGAGGTATTAACACAAGACATTGAAAGGTACCTGCTTTCTCCTTTGAGTCTGTAAAATTCGTGGTCTAGATGGAAGCAAAGTGCAACTGTGGCGTCCTTTACAGCTGTTACAGGAATGCTAACAACCATCCTTTAAACACATGCAATCCGGTATCCCAGAAAAAGAAAGCAACACTGCAGAGGAAGGACAGAGAAACACTGGCACAGGTAGCACAGAGCTTGTAACATCTCTGACCTTGGAGATGCTCCTCATGCAACCATTCAAGGCCCTGGGGAGCCCAATGTAGCTCTGAAGAGGCCATGCTCTGAGTGGAAGATGGGTCCAACCAACCTTCACAGCTCCCTCCCAACCCAAATTATGCTACAGTTGTTTGAAACCTAACCCACTTAACCTTGTATGTACTTACAAATTAGACCTGCTCCTACCCTACAGACATAGGACAGTCTGTTCCCAAACCAGAGGAGTACAATTCATGGAGACAGAAGGCTGCTTCTTTCTAAGCCTATCCTCAAAGTTAGGGAGCTCTGGATAAATTATTCCAAAACAGCATTAAACACTGCCAAAAGTCAACAAACTGGAAGCTTTTCTAGCAATACCTTCAATGTATTCAGTTTTTCTGGCTTAATAGCATCCTGTTTAGCCTGGACCAAATTAGCAGTCAACTGCCAGTGTCAAGTCACTGTAAACCTTTCCAATCAGTAGAACAACTCTAGCACTGCATAGTAGTTAGTACTAACACTTACTGAGTCCCTCCTCCACTTTACTATTTGCTCTAGAACACCCCGAAATTCTCTGATAAACTCTGTTTTCTTATTTTACACTGAAGAGCTGATTGCCTTATAACTGAGAACAAGCTGGCTCTGGTCACCTGAAACATGAGGCAACGTTGGAAGATCACCAAGTCTAAATCATGACTGAGATGTATCTGTTGACTTCATGGGCAGCAAGACATACAGAATCACTTGTTAATAACTTACTAATCATACTTGCATGCTCAGAAATCTCCATTCTTTTCAGGAAATGTGATGTTCCATTAAGCTGTAGCAAAGAAAAGACTGAAAAAAAACCCCATTAGATGAAGGTGCTGAGTTCAACTGAGAATACTCCTAAGACCCTGAAGCTGCAGAGCACAGTGTTATCACCTCTACACAGTAAAAACTCACCTTTGGGTGGTGATCGGGAGTCAGATTTATTTATTTCTAGGTGTATTACAGTCAGCTTCCAGCAGCTGGCAGCAAAGATACAGCATAATCAAATCCTCAACATCCTTTTCTAATCCAAATTATTTATTATAAGATTAATTTGCTCCATTAAAGCAAGAAGAGGGAATTCCTATAATAAAGACAAGGTATCACTTTCTAATAAGGATTCAGGGCATTTAACTCACCTTCACAGTACTAACATAAACCACATACAAAGAAAAGAGGCTCACGATTCAAAGCTCTGCCTGTTGATCAACTCAATGTACATCTACTGGAAGCAGAAAGGACAGAACACACAGTACAGCACAGTCCAGACCACCACAATGCAACATAAAAACTGCTTTATTGATTGCAGTTCACATGTTACAATTAAATTATGATTCCAAGCATTAAGCCAGCTGTTTACAGTAAGTATAAGCTGCCATCGTAGTCACGTGGAATTGGACAAAGAGATGCTAGTAGCAACCAGGGCATCCCGAACTGGAGTCATTTCTGCTTCTTGGGCATTGAAGCGTTAAACAGCTCATAAAGAACATAGCCTGTTCCTGAAACAAGAGACAGAAAAGGTATTTTCAGAACAGTGAACAGTATTGCTTTCAATTTCCTTTCCCAGTTTGTTCCAGAAGAAATACTGGCGATAAGCAGCTGCAATTCAGACACAACACATTTCCATAGCCACATCTCAATGATTTTTTTTTTTTGGCAATTCGTATTTTAGAGGAAAAAGATTCCTTAAATAGTTCTCCATAGACTGCATAAAAATAAAAAAACAGGAAAACATGGGAGAGGCGTGTTCATGGCACCTACAGAGGTGACCATAAAGTAACGGCTACTCATTCTTAACATAACTGAACTGAAAACCCATTAGATCAACACAGTTAGAGGCTATTACAGAACCATTTCACAAGCAACATAAAGGTTAAATGCAGACAGTTATCATAATGTTTGGATATATTCCGCTAGTCTCTGCGGCACGTGAAACCTCAGCACATCAAGTGTCACCTAGGGCTAAAAAGAGCCAGGCTAATGAGACAACTGGTATATGTATGTGCTGTAATTACATTTTACTCCATTTCAGAAAAAGCTTTCTCAGTGGTTACAGAAAGCTACACCCCCATACATGAATTCTGAAGTACTCAACCTAGAGTTCTGTTAGTCAGGGGTAAAAACGCCACCTGAAAAGCTCAACTTGAGAAAGCACAAATAAATATGTAGTACGTCCAAATGTTTTTCCCCCTCTCTACACGCATTTTTGCATGTTTTAAAGAACAGACTGAAGGAACTACGTCACTCACTTACAGAGAAAATGCCAGTCACGTTAGAGATTGTACCAAAGGAAGAGTACTTTAATATCAGCACACTGGAATTTGTATCAAAGGGTAAATATTTATTAGCCTTACCAAAAACTACAATACCCATGGTGGCTCTGTACAACAGAGCATCCATTACACCACCTTTAAGATGCACTGGGATGCCATTATCCTCCTAATGGAAACAAGGGACAAAAAGAAACTATTTAAGTACAGTTCTTGCAATATAACTAGAATGACAGAATTAATATAACTAGAATTAATATAACCAGAATTACCCAGAACATTAATTACTTCCCCACTCCCAAAAGACACTGAACCTTATTTAGAATCTGCTTTGTCTTTCAAGCTTTTGCACTGCTGTCAGGCCACCACTCCCCACCAGGGAAGTACAGTAAATGATGTGCACGCTCATTTCTACAGCACTGGTTGGCAGATGTTTAAACACTCCTGACACCAGCTGCGAGCCCCATCGGGTGCCTGGGATATGCCAACCATCCCTAGAGACTTCCCATCTGCTGCAGGCAGCAGCGAGGGGAGGAGCCTCTGCTGTCACTTGCTGTCACACAGGAAACTGCTTTGCTCCACCTGAAGGGAAACTCCCAGACACCAGATCCGAGTGACCTCTGCCCGTGTCAGCGAGTTCACACAGCTCGGGAATTCAAGCTGGCCTCCGGTGTGGTGACCCACAGCCCAGCCCAGCTTGACCTGCTGCCTCACAAGAAAGAGAGGGGAGGAGAAAGAGATATGGCTGGAGAACCCTGCCAGCAGAAACAGAGCCTCTGACGCCACCCATTCCCCTTGGCTCACAGTGAACACTGCTCCTTAGCATCACAAGAAGACTGGCTTTCTCTTCCAGGGGAAAGGACAGCAACTAGACACAAAAACTATTACAAAACAAAAACTCGGGCTTCTAACACGCTTTCTTCCTTTCACATGGCCGAAATGTCCACTCTATCCTCAGTGTGAAGCTACTGCTCCAGGTTATGGCTCACAGATGGGAGCACGCTCTCGAGTATCCCCTGCTTTGGCATCTGAAGAACCACCAGTGCTCACTAGGTGGCCCTATCAGTCAGGAAGAGAGTCACCCAGATACCATTTTAAAAGATTCAATCATTTTCTAGGAGTGAATCCAATCCCTTAAGACCTTTACTGTTTTCATAATTGAGGTACAATAATACCACATCCTCAGTAAGAACTACGGGGCTCATCTACAAGCTATGGATATAGCTGTAAGAGCGCAGGTTTAACTTTTCACTGTACTTCTGTCCTCTCACTTGCTGTTTTTCTCTGTTTGTTCTTAGGATGTACTCCCCCATCTCAGCTCACTTCAGAGTACTTTGTCTTTATCTTTGTACGGTACCTACAACTCATTAAAAAACTCAGGTACAAATTACCAACTATTTAGGAACAAAATGTATGCAATTATGATCTACTAAAACCCTGCTTTTCTACTAACATTACTATCAATGCTCACTCAATACCTGGAAAAGCTTCTGCTTCTCTGCAACTCTATTTTGAAACTGCCTGCGTGAAGCAGTGCTTATGGTCCTCTGGGAAATCTGGCGAAGGCTCTGAAATAAAAGATAAACAGTGTATAAAAAACAGCCATTTTTTTCCAGCTATATTCACACTGGGTTGAAATAGTTTCTTTTTGAAGTAACACAGAAGTGGAAAGGCCAGGAAAAGAGGAAAGTCTTTAAAACAAACAATTAAACAAAGGAAACACAAAAACCCACTGGGTTTTAATTCAGTCAGTCTTTCAGCAGACTACATACAGGACTGACCGGTTACTTAAAAATGGAAAACTCAGGAAAATTTCTTTCAGTAAGATACAACAGATTAATGGATCTACAACATTAGCATCCTTTTGGGGGAAACCTCAACCTCTGCCTCTTAGATCTGGGTTTTAGGCACCATTTGCTGTGTCTGACCCTAACGATATGGTCAGTAATATTTAAGACAAAACACGTTAGGGCAGACAAGGATCTTCTGTCCGAGCTCCAGTTCACCAGCACAGGAGCCAACCTTCACGGAGCTGAAGGCAGTCCCCATCCATGAGTTTTAAGACCTCTTGCTGTGCCCTAAGCTGGAATCTGTGTCCATAGCCAGATCGCGTAGATGCTCGTTAGCAGGGTCAGGCAATAATCTCTAATTCCTCCGATGGCTCAAAGTCTGCCTCCGCTCCCACGTCAAGGCTCAAAGCTAAGAGCCAGCTGTACCCCCAGGCTCCCCGCTGTCTCCTTCAAGTAATGCCGACATTGATCCTCCCCCGCAAAACTACCCCCGCTAAAAACGCGGCCACGGGGCAAACCCCCGGGTGATGCTGGCTGTGAGTGAGGGCACAGCCACCTCCTGCCCTCACCCACC